AATATATTAAAAATATATATTTATAATATATATACAATTATTCTAAAATTTAGGTGGGCAGACAAAGAATTTAGAATATCTAAAACAATTTTGAAAGAGTTGAATAACAGAAAGCATCACTCTACTTATTTGGAAGACATATAGCCATAGTAATCCATATGGGTAATGACAATAGAATAGATATATAAATCAACAGATAGCTGGATGCAGTGGTACACAAGGAGGCTGAGGCAGGAGGATCGCAGTGAGTTCACAGCCAGCCTGGGCAACATAGTGAGTTCAAGGCCAGCCTAAACTAAAGAACAAGAGCCTTTCTCAAAAAACTAAGTAAATGGATGGAGAAGGGGAGGAACCTAAAAAGAGCCCCACATGAGTATTAGCCAGCTGCTTGAATTTTTACAGAAGTATAAAGGCAATTCAGTGGAGGATGTCTATCTAACAAATGATGCAGGCACATTTGAATATGTATATGGAAAAAATAATCTCAATATAATTCTCATACTTTATAAAAAATTAACTAAAAATGGATCATAGACAAATAGAAAATGTATAGAACTTTCAGAAGTAAACATAAAAAATATTCATAACCTGGGGCTTGTTAAGAAGGAAATAAGTATGATACCAAAGCACAATTCATGTGTTAAATTTCTATTATGATAACAAAATACCTGAGATAATCAACTTTTAAAAAGAAAGGTTTCGTTTGGCTCCTGCTTCTGGACGTTTTTGTCCATGTTCCCTGGCTGTGTTCTTTGGCTTGTCACAGCAGCACATCGTGTCAGAGAGGACATGGTGAAGCAAGCCACCCCGTTCATGATGGTCAAGAAGCAAAAGAGAGGAGGGAAGGGAGAAAGAAGGTGTTGAGGTACCAATATCCCCTCAAGGGAATGTTCCAGTGACAGCAGACCTACCGTTGGGCCCAGCCTCTTAAAGTTGCCCACACTGAGCCTTTAACATTGGCCTTTGGAGAGTGTTTAAGGTCCAAACTGTAATACAATAAAAGAAAACCAACTTTATCAGCATTGCAACTTGTTTTGCAAATAGAAGAGTAGGAATGTTATCAGGTAGTTCCTTCTAAAAATGGTTCGCCAATTAAATGTTACCAGGTTTTGGGTTGCTTACCTCTCCTTTTGAAGTTAGATTCCAGGTTCTTCTCACCTCAAACAAAGAATTGTAATTGAACAAAGCAAGCAAAAAACAGTGGCAAGTTTATTTGAAAAAGTAAAAGGTGAAGAGTGAAGGAGAAATTGGCTCTCCAGAGCAAGCTTGGGCCAAGTAAAGAGGAAAAGGCAAGATAAAAAGTACACCCTGGAGAAAGCAGGGCAGACTGTCATGAAGAAAATCTCTGTAGCAAGCTCTTCTTGGTGTCTGTGTTCTTTTATACTGTACAATTCTCCAGGAAACCCATAAGAACTTTTTATTTTTTGTACTGGGAATTGAACTCAGGACTTTGCCCTTGCCAGGCAGGCGTGGCATCACTAAACTAAGTCCCGGGCACTGAGAACTTCT